GTCTTCAAATAAAAATAAGATGTTAGAATAGTTACTAGCCTCAGAAATAGAGCTGACATATGAAACACACAGTGACCAATTAAATTTGAAATTCAGGTATATCATGAATAAATTTTTAGTTTATCCTGATGAATAAAGTCTTTGTCATGACTCAGACATACTAACGCTAAAAAATACTCATTGTTTATCTAAAATCTTTTTTTTTTTTTTTTTGGCTAGAGTGCTCATGCACTTGCCAGAAAAAGAAAGAGAGAGAGGGAGAGGAGAAAGAACCCCGTATAGGGAATGGTCACACCACAGTCCCTTCTCCCTCTCTCCCTCCTTTCAGAACTTTGGGCAACAAGCACAAGTACACTGAGTGTTTCTCCAGCTGCCAGGTCCAGGACTCACACCATGTAGTCGGCCATGTGGGATATGACTGCCTTAATTACCAAGCCATGGGGCTGGCCCACTATTCTAAATATAATTGAGTGTCCTGTATTTTTATTTGCTAAATCTGACCACTCTACTTAAAATTATCTTCCCTTCCCCCCATCCAGCACCAGAATACATTTTTGCAACTCATTGACTGTCTTAGTCCATTATTGTCTTGCTAACAGAAATACCTGAGATTCATGATTTGTAAAGAAATGGTTTACTGACTTACAGTCCTGGCAGTTGGAAAGTTTGTAGGCCTAACACAGACCTCTGGCTGGCCTACAACACAGCTAATAAACGCAGACAAGATGGCAGGCGTTGCAGCCCAAACAAGCTGCCGCCAGCTCTTTTCTCACGAGAGCTAGAACTCATTGTGTCTCTAGAGACCTCATTACTCTACTCACGATAATGTTATCTGCATGACACAAGCATCGTCTTCCAATCACATCCCACTAGGCCTCATTATTTCCCAACATCAAGTTCCAAAACATGGAACGGCTATTATGTAAACCATAACACTGACATCTTGCCTTTCTTAACTGTCTATCCTACAAGCCAGTCCATTTAATTATGGATAATTCTCAATCTCAGAAAGTATTTTGTTATAGCGAGGCAAAATCTGATTTCTAGGGACCAGCAGATGGCATAATGGTTTTGTTGCTGGACTTCTACATAGTCCACCGCAGTTTGAGTCCTGAACCTGACAGCTTGAAACTCATGCCAGGAGCACGTAAGGGCATGCCCAGGATTCTGAGAGGAGAATGGAGGAAAAGGGACTGTGGCAAGGCCATCCCCCCAAGGGGGTGATTTTTCACTTTCTGACTCTCTGACTCTCTGTTGAGCCCATGAGCTCTGTAGCAAAAATTCCTCTCAAAAAAAAAAAAAAATTCTATATTTTTTAACCCAGTAATATTCAAATCTTGAAATAAGAATCATGAAACCAGCAGTTGGCATAATGGCTATGTCACTGGACTCCCATGTAGTCGACTATGGTTCGAGTCCCAGACCCAGTGGCTTAAACTCACGCTGGATGCATGTGTGTACCCAATATTCTGAGAGGAGAACGGAGGAGAAGGGATCATGGTGTGGCCATCCCCCCCTGGTTTTCTTTGGAGTATCAGAAAGATCTTTGGCAGAATGACTCCACTCGGGTGAGTTGCCCTATAGCAAAACCCTCTCAAAAAAAAAAAAAAAAAAAAAGAATCATTGCTCTTTTTTTTTTTTAAATTGCCAGAGGGTGTATGCACTTGGCAGAGGGAGACAGAGAAACAGAAGGAGTCCCCCCACCACCACCATGGAGCATGGTCACACAACAATCCCTGTCTTCCACGTTTTTTGGACACAAACATATATGTGCCCTGCATGTTTGTTTTCAAACCACCTGAGCCAGGATTCAAGTCACAGTCTTGTAAGATCTGGCTCCCTTGAGGCCGGCAGGTGGCATGGTGGTTAAAATGCTGGATTCCCACATGGCCGACCATGGTTCAAGTCCTGGACCTGGTGGCTCGTTTTCTCACTTTCTCACTCTCTATCTCTCTCTGGTCAAATTAGAAAAATAATAATAATAAGGGGCCAGCAGTTAGCATAATGGCTATGTCACTGAACTCCCACGTAGTCGACCACGGTTCAAGTCCCAGACCCAGTGGCTTAAACTCATGCCGGCTGCGTATGCATGCGTACCCAAGATCCCAAGAGGAGAATGAAGGAGAAGGGATTGTGGCGTGGCCATCCCCCCTGGGGGGTGATTTCTCGCTTTCCGTCTTTCTGTATCTCTCTGTCTTTCTGATGAGCACACAGGTCTAATAGCAAAAACCTCTCCAAAAATAATAATAATAATAAATAATAAAGTTGAACAGATAGTTATTTTTTAAAAAGTTTAAAAAGATCTGGCTCCCTTAACCACTAACCTGTAGGGTTACCCCATCACTTTTCTTTAATAATAAAATCTTAAATATTACATATTTTGATTACAATATAGTTTATAATGAAAACATGTCCTTATTTCACTTCTTTCCATCCCTAGTTTCTTTTTCCAAACTCTCCCCGGTAGATACCTAAGACTACTATTTTTTATTTTAATTTTTGCCATGGGGAGTGTGTACTTGCTGGAGACAGAAAAGAGAGAGAGAGAGAGGGAAAGTAAGAAAGCACCACCCAGGGGGATGGCCATGCCACAATCTCTTCTCCTTCATTCTCCTCAGGATTTTGGGCATGCAAACACATGCACCCAGTATGTTTTTCAATTTACCAGGTCTGGTACTTGAACCAGGCCATGGGAATCCAGCCACCTTAATTGTCACACCATGGGCTGGCCCTTTTAATGTTTTTGTTTGTAATTTTACATTAAAAGTTTCAGACATATACAAAAGCAGAAGGAAAAGTATCACAAATACCGTGTGTTCGTCACCTAGGTTTCATAAAGATCAACTTGTGGCCCATCTTGTTTTACCTATGACCCGCCATCCCTGTCTCTGTGCCACTGGACCCAATATATCACATCATTTTGTCTACACATGCTTTAAATCTAGCTACTTCTTTATTCAGCCCTTTGGACGCTGTCTGCTGGAATCCTGCTACACTAAATAATCCGCTAGCACCTTGCTACCATACATGCCCCCTCATTTCCTTCCTCTCATCCTCCCAATGGCTCTATAATGACTTTTGATTAAGTCAGTGATTCAGCGTTTACGGTTATGATTATACCATGCATCAATCACTTACAAGTCAAGTAGCTTGTCATGGCCACATTTCTCTCCTCGTACAACTTTTTGCTCTTCCTAAAGTTCGTTAGTACTTCTTCTTCTGGCAAATGTGACAGAAAGCCAATAATTCCTCAGTATCCATCCTCCTCTTGTCATAAAAACAATTCTCAGGACAAGCAGTTGGTGTAATGGCTATGTCACTGGACTCCCACGTAGTCGACCATGGTTCAAGTCCCAGACCTGGTGACTTGAACTTACGCCGGGTGTGTGTGCATGTGTGCCCAAGATCCTGCGAGGAGAATGGAGAAGGGATTGCAGTGTGGCCATCCCCCCAGGAGGTGATTTCTCGCTTTCTGTCTCTGTCCTTGTGGTAAGTGCACACACCGTATAGCAAAAACCTCTAAAAAATAAATTAATAAAATAAAAAATTCTCCTACCCAGAGTTTTAATACATGGCACCCAGTCAGAACCTTGTCCCTCAGCCTCCCTTGCAGTAAGTGTGAGCATTTGACTCAGTTTTGCTAATTAGAAGGTGTCCTCAGAAGGGAAGTGTTCAGCTTCTGAATCTTGTCCTTAAAACTGGCTGTAGTTTTCTCCCTTTCTCTTTTTCCCTCCTTCCCACAGTCTGGGAAATGACAAGTTTTGGAACTTACTTGGATCTTAAGATGAAACCATGTGTGGAGGATAGAACGACCTGCTGCCAGCCTGGATCCGTAATGACCTTATGGAGCAGAATCATCCAGACCACCTACTTCCGGTGGTTTCATGAATACAGAGAAAATTCGATGAAGGCCCATGCTCTGTGGTGTAGTGGTAATGCAGATGGCCTGTAACACTATAAGTCACATGATTCCAAGAGGAGAATGGAGGAGAAGGGATTGCGGCATGACCATCCCCCTTGGGGGTAATTTCTCGCTTTCTGTCTCTATGTTTCTCTCTGTCTGTCTGGCGAGTGCACACGCCCTATAGCAAAAAACTCTGAAAAAATAAAAAATAAAAAAATAAAAAGTATTTAGGATGTCATCATTACCCAGAAGCCCCCCCCCCCTTCCACCCTGCATGTGCCTGCCCAGCTGGGAACCGCCTCCACAGCCTGGCCAACTACCCATCATTCTAACTTCTGTCACCTAAAATGAGATCCCCCTGCTCTAGAGCATCAGTATAAATGGGATGAAACAGTATGTCCTCATTCATGTCTGGTTTAGTTGATCTTCCTCTTTCTTCAAACTCCTGCATTTTAGTTGAGCACCCTTCAGTACCTCATGGACAAAGGGTACAGGTAAAATGTTTTGAAACCTTGAATACCTGAACACGCTACATTTTACCCTCACGTTTGCTGCATTGTTTGACTGCATGTAGACTGTCAAGTTGAAAATAACTCTCCTTCCGAATTTTGAAGGGGTTACTTCATTGTCTCCCAATCTCTGGGACTGCAGCCCAGTCCTCTTTATGTATCTATTTGTTTGTCTGTCTGTTCATTTTTGCCGTGTGATCTCTGTGTGCTTGTGGGAAGCTTGCTTTGTCAGTAGCGTTCGAAAATGTCACAATGACATGCCTTGGGCTCTTTTTCTCCTTTTTTTTTTCTGCTGGACGAGCAATGGCCTCTTACAATTGAAAGCTCCTATTTCTCATTGTGGATCATTTTCTTGAATTATTTTCTTGATAATTTTCTTTGTTTTCTCCTTCTCTCTTTTGGCAATGTATATTATTTAGATGATTGCACCAAGTGTATTTATCCTTTAAATATTTTATCTTATCTCTTGTATTTTGCTTGCTTCTTTGCTTTGCCCCCAGGAGATTTCCTCAACTTTCTTTTCTGACACACTGTTTGAATTTTTATCTCAGTTATAAAATATTTTAAAGAGTGTGCTGTTGCAGCCACCCGCCACTGCACCTGACCAGTTGTGCTGGCGGTACAATCAGTGGTGTGCTGATAGTAAACCCCAGCTTAGGAATCAAGGTTGTTCTTCATGTGGATGACTATGCCGGAAGAGTTCGTGGACCAGCCGCACAGCCTAGTGAATGAGAGATCCAGATCCCACGTGACTGACTGTGGTCTGAATCCCTGCCCCAACAGCTTGAGAAACACACCAGGTACATGAGACTGACTTCTCCAAATCCTGGGAAGATGAAGAGATGGAGAAGAAGACAGCACTGGGGAAGAGGTGCTCTCTTCCTTCTCTCTCTCTCTCTCTCTCTTGCACACATACGCTCCAGCAATTGAAAAAATAAAAGAATATACTATTCTTGTTCCTCAGGGACAATATGATCCTTTTACTTCTCTGAGAAAGTGAATTATAGGTTAAAATGTTTTGGGGACTAAAAAAACATTTAGTGGGACTAGCAGATGGCATAATAGTTACGTTGCTAGACTCCCACGTAGCCTACCATGATTTGAATCCTGGACCCAGTGGGTTAAAACTCATGCCAGGTGCGTGTGCGTGCATGTCCAAAATCCCAAGAGGAGAATGGAGGAGAAGGGATTGCAGTGTGGTCATCCCCCTTAGGGAGGTGATTTCTTACTTTCTGTATCTCTCTGTCTCTTTGGCAAATGCACATGACCTACAGCAAAAATCTCTCTTTAATAAAACATGTTTGAGGGGCTGGCAGGTGGCATGATGGTTAAAGGTGCTGGATTCCCACATGGCTGACTGAGATTCCAGTCCTGGACCTGGTGGCTTGCTTTCCCTCTTTCTCTGACTCTCTGACCAAATTAAAATAAATAAATAAATAAAGCTAAATAAAAAATTCTTAAAAACAAAACAAAACAAAATAAAACAAAATAAAACAAAAACACGTTTGAGGGGTTGGCAGGTAGCGGAGTGGTTAAAGATTCCCACATGGCTGGCCACAGTTCAAGTCCCAGACCTAGTGACTTGCTTTCTCACCTTCCCTTTCTCTTTCTCTCTGGTCAAATTTAAAATTAATAATAACAAATGTAATTAATTAAATAAATAAATCTTTAAAAAAAATGTTTAGGGCCAGCAGTTGGCATGGAGGTTGAGGTTAATCCATCTCTCTCTTGCTCTATTCCTCTCTCTCTCTGTGTGTGTGTGTGTGTGTGTGTGTGTGTGTGTGTGTTAGGGTTTCAATATTTTTGCCCCACCCAAAATTCATCTTAGAAACTTTATCTCTAGTTGAATGATATTGGGAGTTATTTAGGTCATGAGGGCTCTGTTCTCATGAAGAGATTAATGGCACTATTGAACAGATTTGTGGGGCCAATCTGTGGCAGGGTGGTTGAAATGGCTGGATCCCACATGCCCAACTGTACACTTCAAGTTCCAAACCCGATGGCTTGAGAAACACGCCTTTGTGTGTGTACATGCTCCAAATCTTGAGAAGGGGGGAAATGGAAAAGAGACTGTGGCACGACCATACCTCCAGGTGGTATTTTCTCACTTTCTCTTTCTCCTTCTCTTTCTCTGTCTATCTTTCTCTGGAGAGTGCACACACCCTCTGGCAAAATTTTTTTAAGAAAGGATTTGTTGCAGTTGGTATTCTTTTTTGTGCTCTCCTCTGCTCTTCTGCCATGACTTTTCTCCCTCTGGAGGACCTGGTCCTCAAGGTACCATCTTGGAAGTGAACAAAACTGGTCACTAACCTTCTGGTGCCTTGATCCTGGACTCCCCAGCCTCCCAAACTGGGAGAGCATGCATTTCTGTTCTTTATAAATGACTCAATCTCAGGTATTCTGTTATAGCAAAATAAAATGGACTAAGACACTCTTCATATCAATATAAACATGCCTATGTGTGTGTGCATATATATATATTTGTATGTATTTGTTCAGTTCACCATGTTCCATCAGTTCTTCTCATGTTAAGACCCTCGCACATTGGAGAGCACTTACCCCAGATTGGAGGCCTCTTCTCCAGCTCAGCATGCCCACTTCCTTCAGCGGTCCCCATGGGACATGGCTATGCAGCCTCACAGGGTTGCTCTGGCAGGATACTCCTCAGATGAACTCCTCAGAATGTCTACTTCAGTTTTTGTTTTCTTTTTGCTAGAAGGTGTGTGCACTCACCAGAGAGATATGGAAAGGGAGAGGGGAAAGCCTCCTTCATGGGGCATGGTCATGCCACAATTCCTTCTCCTCCATTTCTCTCCTTTCAGGATTTCAGGCATGTACCCACACACATCTGGCATGTTTCTCAAGTCATCAGATCTAGGACTCAAACTGTACATTTGGCCATGTGGGATCCAGCTGCCTCAACCACCAGGCTACGGATTCGGCTCCAGAATGCCTATTTCATAAGTTATCCTTCTCCAATCTAATGTAGTCCTCAGACCGATGATAAAAGTTTCCAGATGTCCTTAAGGCAAGCTTCTTGGACAAAAAAAAAGACATTACTTGGATTTTCAAATTACTATTCAATTTACTAATGTTGCAAATTTTTAAAAAGAGACCTTTCCTTAAGCCTTTCAGTCTTGCTCAGAAACATTCTATTTAATAAGTCTAATAAATTTTAATTATCAATTTTAAAGAGGCCCATGGATAAGTTTTTACCAACTCCAATTGAGCAAACTTAAGTACCTAAACAACCAGTCCCACCTATAAATTTAGTTTAATTCCCTTAAGCATTTTAAACTGAATTTACAAAGTTACTGTACTGTATTTTCCAGAGTAGGAAACAAAGCCTTTCTGGTACCTAAAACAACTTTAAAAATCGAATCAATCAAACTTGCAGCAGTGAATTCTCTTAAAGAGACTAATATCGTTTGCTGACTTAACTCAGTTCTCTAATAACTTTCAACTTAAAATTACAAATGTGAACTCAATTTCCAAATCATACATCCTAACCTGAAATGACAAGACTATTCTATTATGCTCTAGTATGCAAATATGTTAAATATCACAAACTTTTAAAAAATTATTTCATTTATCTTTATTTTTTTATTTGACCAGAGAGAGACAGAGTGAGAAGGAAAGAAAGGGAACGTGAGAAAGCAAGCCACCAGGTCTGGGACTCAAACCACAGTTGGCAATGTGGGAGTCCAACACCCCTAACCACCACACCACCTGCCTGCCCCTAAATACTACAAACTTCTAAATCTTTAATATATATGGAACTTCTTAATAAATAAACATCCTTCCTTTTCCTGACATTAGCAAAAAATGTGATTTTTACTGATTTTATTTACTTCATCTTTATTTGTAATTAGAATATTTTTAAGAGTGGAATGACTGTTTTTTAAGATAATTATTTTATTTAACTTTATTCATCATTATTATTAGATTTCTTTCCTTTTTTTCAACTTGACCAGAGAGAGACGAGAGAGAGAGAGAGAGAAAGTGAGAAAGCAAGCCACCAGTTCCAGGACTTGAAATTAGGTCAACCATATGGGAGTCCAGCACTACACCACCTGCCAGCCCCAGAATGACTAGTTTTTTGTTTCTTTTTGGAGAGGTTTTTTTGCTATAGGGAGCGTGTGCTTGCCAGAAAGACAGAGAGAGACAGAGAGACAGAAAGCGAGAAATCACCCCTCGGGGGGATGGCAATGCTGCAATTCCTTCTCCTCCATTGTCTTCTCGGGATCTTGGGCATGCATGCACATGAGCCCGTTGTGAGTTTATAGCCACGGGGTCTGAGACTTGAACCATGGTCAACTACGTGGGAGTTCAGCGACATAGCCATTATGTCTTCTGCTGGTCCCCAGAATGACTAGTTTTTTTTTTTTTTTTTTTTTTGAGAGGTTTTTTCGCTATAGGGCGCATGCGCTCGCCAGACAGACAGAGAGAGACATAGAGACAGAAAGCGAGAAATCACCCCCCAGGGGGGGTGGTCACGCCGCAATCCCTTCTCCTCCATTCTCCTCTCGGGATCTTGGGCACGTACGCACACGCGCCCGGCGTGAGTTTTAAGCCACCGGGTCCGGGACACGAACCACGGTCGACTACGTGGGAGTCCAGCGACATAGCCATTACGCTAACTGCTGGTTCCCCAGAATGACTAGTTTTAAGGAGTACACGTGATCAAGTAATTCCATCTACTGTTAAAATACAAACACATCAAAAATGTATGCATTGGTGGCCAGCAGGTGGCGTGGTGATTAAGCACTCTGGACTCCCACATGGCCTACAGTGGTTTGAGTCCTGGACCTAGCAGTTTGCTTTCTCACTTTTCCTCTCTCTCTCTCTTGCTCTCTCACTCTGTCCCTCTCTGGTTTAAATAAATACATAAAGTTAAATAAAATAATTCTTTAAATAAATTATGCATTGGAGCCAGCAGATGGTATAATGGTTACATCACTGGACCCCCATGGAGTTGACCGCAGTTCAAGTTCCAAACTCAGTGGCTTAAAACTCATGCTGTGTATGTGTGCATCCATGCCCAAGATCCCAAGAGGTGAATGGAAGAGAAGGGACTGCGTCACGGCCATCCCCGCTGGGGCATGATTTCTTGCTTTCTGTCTTTCTGTCTTTCTATCTTTCTCTGTCTCTCTGGCAAGTACACAAACCCTATAGCAAAAATCTCTCTTTAAAAAATTACGCAACGCATATGGGGCTAGCCCCATAGGTCAGTGGTTAAGAGAATTGGATTCCACCTGGTCAACTGCATTTCAAATGCTGGTCCCAGCAGTTTGACAAACATGTCAGACCTGTGTGCATGTGGGCTCAAAATCTTGACAGGCTGGAGAAATGGAGGAGATGGGATTGTGACGTGACCCTGTAGAAAGTGAATTCTCTCTCTCATTCTCTGGCATGCACACATGCCCTCTGATGATTAAAAAAAATGCATAGGTATGTTCACCAACAATCATGAACTACAAGTTTAGAGCAATAATCTAACTTAATGACCTCAACTGAAAACTATGCAAACGCCCATCACTGATAGATAAATGATGTGTGGTTTACTTACCCAGTGAGATGCTTCAGAATGAGATGAATGACCTGCAACCATACACAGTGTGGATGACGCTTAAGACAGTTCATACTGCTTGACTCCACCAACGATCCTGGTGCTAGGAGGCAGGAGAGGCATCACTCTCGGGGAGAGGTTGTGG